TTTCTGAGCGGCAAGGCCAGCACAACTCTGGGGCCACCTCTGTCCCCCACGATCCCTCCACCCCATCAGGGCACTACGGAGGGAAGCTCCCAGACCAAGGATGGTCCGTCCCGGACATCAGCCTCACTGGCCCCTAAAAAGCGCAAGCCTGCTGATCCAAACCACGTTTCTTGTCCACTGGGCTTATCCTCATTGGAAGGATCCTTTCCTCACCCTCTCTGCCAAGGGCTTCACTGCCGCCTGTGAAAGTAGGTCAGAGATATGGATGTTCCGTTTTCTAGGTGAAAAAGTAGAAATCAAGTGACTCATCACAAAAGAAAATTTAAAAACTCAAGTGCTTACGCTTTTTATGTATGGTCTCTCTTTATACACACCCACATATAAGCACACGTGTACACTCATGTGAAACATGACCCAGTGAAGCTGGTTCTATCAATTCCTGATTTCCAGAGAAGGAAACTGAAGCTCAGAGAAAATATATCTCTGACTGGGCCCCTCCGTGTCACGGTAAAGCCTTAGTGAGTGGCTGCCTGACACAGCCGGTTGGCCTTCATGTTCCAGGCCCACTCGCTGAGCATCAGAAAGACCAAGGCAGCAAGGTTTGTGAGAAGCTGCGCGCCAGACACTGTCCTATAGCACAGTCGCCCTCACATGCAGTCCCTGCAGGAGACACAATACAGTCAATGATGTTGTAAAAACTATGCACGGCGCCAGCTGGGTCCTGGAAATATTGGGGGGAAAGCTTTGTTAAGTCTATGACTGCCTAACCACTATACATCTGGGACCAACACAAAATAATATTGAATATAAACTGTAATTAAAAAAATAAAAAGATGGGGCAAGCAAGTACTACAAATATACCTCCGTGTAAATGTTTCAACTAGGTTTTAAAACGGAAAGAAAACACATGCAATCATGCCTATCTCACCCACGGGGAAGGCCCTCCCCCATCCCCACGTGGGTCCTCAGGGACAGGCCTGCACAGGCCAGGGTGCTCCCACCATCAGCTCTCTGTCCCTCCCGCCCTCCAGTTTTTCACTTCATAGCTTGGACCCTCTGTTCTCTCCTGACCATGCACACTGGCCGCTTCCATTTCTGAAGTCCCCACGCCCCAGGACTCGGACCTGGTGAAGGAGGCAAAGGCATGCAAATAGCTGAGCCTGAACCTGAACCTGGCCATGAAGAACCGAGACTCGTCTGTCATCTGCATGTGCAGGTGTCCAGGAACAAACCTTTTGGCGGACAGGATGAGAGACGCTGACAGGGTGAAAGGCTTTTATTTTGCCTTCCCCCCCCCCCCCCCCAAACAGTTCCCTTTAGTCAGAGGAAAGGTATCTATCTAGCCAGGATCGTCTCTCATCCTAATAACCTGCTAAGATGCCCTTGAGGAAGCTCAAGCCCCACACGCATGAAATAGGGGCAAAAAGCCTCCCTCGGAAGGATGCCAGAGACAGAAGTTGGCAAAGAAGCAGGTTCATAACAAGATAAGAACAGATGAGAGGATAACCCATCTCCTGGCAGCTGCCTGCCACCTCAGCAAAAAGCTGGCCAGACAGCAAAGAGAAGCCAGGGGCCTGGGGCATCTGCCAACTGATCGACGGCGCCCCTGGTGGACTGAAAGGATAACGAACCTCACTCCTCTGTGCGTGGCTCCAACAGAAGCAGCCCTAGAGGTAACTAACCCTCTTGGGAAATGTTTCAAATAGATTGGAAACGCTCCCCGCACCCACAAAACCTGGCCCCGCCCTGCCAGCCACCCACCCACCTCATGTAAGGATTCCATTTGTTTCAAACATTCCAGTCCCCAATCACCTCTAATTGCATCCCGAGACAGGCTGGGCCAACGTATTTTCCATGCTGTTTCTCAAGTTCAGGCAGGTGGCTTAGACCAGTCCCAGTTGGGAGGGGGACAGGGGAGAAGGGTGTTGAGAAGACAGGATGGAGAAAACGGAAGGAAAAAAAAAAAAAAGCTGGGAACACAGAGAGGAGAGATTGAAACTAAACATAGCTCCTACGTATGGAGTCTCTTTTAAAAATAATAACTTTTTGTTATAGAACCTGAAGAGAGCCAAAAACAAAACTGAATGTGGGCATCATCTGTTTATTTTCTGCTCCTTCCTTTTAGCAGCCCCTGGCCTGTCCTCCCACCACCACCACCACTTCGCCCCTGCAGGTGGCAAATAAAGCTCCCATTCTGCATTCCATTAGAGCCAAGAATTTTCTGAACGCCCTCATATCAAAACGTAACAGGTGTGTGTCCCATTTGCTACGGCAGAGGACAGCTAATCTGAGGACCAACTGGAATTTGACATGACAATTGGTCGAGACAGCAGTGATTCTCTCAGAGTGAGCCCTCAAATGTGTGACACTGATTATGCTCCTGGTTGACTAATTTCCATGTTGTCCCCCCCCCCAACACCCCCCCAACCCGATCCAAAGGACTGCTTTGTCAGAAATCTTTATTTTAAAGCTCAATGCCTCTCCCCAACCCCCCTCCCCCCCTGCAGCCCTCCACTCCCAGGAAGCCTGAGACACGGCCCCTGAGCCCGGGAACAAAGACAAAAGAGCTGAGAGTGAAGCCGGAACTGCTGGGGTTTGCTGCCTCAGAACCAGAGGGTGTGTTTAAAATTCTCACAAGCAACCTGCTCACAGGAGAATGCGGGCTGGAGGTGGGGGCGGGGGGAGGGGGGGAGGCTCGCTCTTCAGATGGTGGGGTGGGGGGGGAGAGGAGGAGGCAGCAGCCTTCAGAGTTCAGGTCTCTCTCTTCTGGGCCCAGCTCCAAGCCGGACCCCAGCGCTCTCCCTGCAGCGCCCCTCCCTGCCCCAGCCCAAGGTCCTCTGGGGCACAGAAGCCTCCAAACGCGCCCCGCTCTCCTCCTGCCGCCCCTGCAGGCCCAGGCTTCTCCCCGCAGGCCCCCCTCCCTACCCATGCCTCAGGCACCTGCTCTGGTCACTGCTTCCCGTGTGCCCACCGGGCTTCTCCCCCACGCTGGCTTCTGTCCCCTCTCGCCCCGGGAGCAGCGCTGAGGAGGCAGCTGGGACCAGCTAGGGGGGAGCAGTAGCAGATCCAGGGTGAACACCCAGGGGGCATTCTTCCCATGACCTCACCCCACTGTCCCCAGGCTCCTCTGACAATGCCCACTCCCTTCGGCCCCAGGAGGCAGACAGGAGAGCCTCTGCATCTGTTCCCTCCGGAGACCCTGGCCGGCTGCTGGGGAGTGGGAGAGCCAGCTACCAGGCTGAGAGTGAGAGGTCAGAGTAATAGTGTAGGAAGAACAGGTGCCACGCACTTTATTAAAAACAGTCAGGATCCAAAAGATTCTGTAAGTTCGCTGGCCTTCTGCAAAGCTGCCCCTGCGAGAAAGATGTCAGTTGGCCTGAGCCGGTCACACACCGCGGTGGGTATCTCCCCGGTGGGCTCGGGGCGCGGGGGGGACAGGGGGTGAGAGGGGTGACGGGGAGAGATGCAGGCCTGAGGGGTGGGCGCAGCAGTGAGGAGAGCCTCGCCAGGCCTCTCTCCTTCGGTATGACTCTAAGGGAAGCGGGAGGAGGGCTCACTCGGAGGCTGAGGGACGGGAGCCAGAGGCAGAAGGAAGGGACCGAGATGGTGTTTCCTTTGGAGTCCTCACAGAGGGAGACCGGGCTTGCTCTGCACTCAAGGTCGAAAAGCGCCCGAGAAAGAGGAAAAGATTTCCACTCTGACCCCTAAGTCCATTCTCAAGGAGAAGGGGGGCAAACCACAGTAGGCTTGAGGGACAGTGGAGCGGGGAGAATCTGGTGGGGGCGGGGGGGGCGGAGTCTGGCGTAGGGGGGGCAGTTGTTCAATGACCAGAAACTAAGAAGCAAGAAAGGATGTTTCCACTTTTTCTTTTCTTTTTTTCAAGTTGCAGAAGCTTGCTCAGACTCCCTTGCTTTTCAAACAACAGGCAGCGGACACCCTTCCCCAGTGTCTTCAGGAGGAAAGAAAAGCACAGCTCCCTCCAGTCCACTGAGGCAGGAGGCTTTGCAACGTTAAAAACACACAAAAAACAAGCGAGGTCCTCAGAGTTTGGTTGTGTCCCGCCCCTCACGGAGAATCTCAGGGCTCCCATTCTGTCCGATGGGAAGTTTTCTAAAGTAGAATGAGGGGCGGGAGGGGGGCGGCGATGGATACACATCCCTCCCGTTAGGGTAGCAGCGCCCACCCACCCCCCACCCCAGGCCCGCGCTCTCCAGCCCGCAGCGCCGGGCGCTGAGCTGGCAGGACGGTGCCCCCACCGGCCCGACTGCACCTGGCGCCCCGGCGCCCCGGCTTCAGCTCCAGGGACTCAGACGCTGGGGTCTCTTCCTCGACGCCCCCCCAAATGCCTGCCTTCTTTTATTTTCCACCCTTTTCGTTCTCTGCGTGAGAAGACAGCGGCGTCCCGTTTTTTTTCCTCTAAGAAACCCACTTTGCCAAGTACCAGCCAGTCCTGGCTCCCGCCGCACTCTCCCAGGCAGGCGTCCCGCGCGCGCTGCCTTCTCCCTGAGCCCCTTTCACAGAGGCCCCCCCCTTTCAGGAGAGACCCCCCCCTTTCACGTGAGATCCCCGCTTTCACCCGCACCCGCCACCTCCCCCCACCCCACCCCTGCAGCGCCCTCCCCCGGGACCTTCCCAGGACCCCAGGTCCTGCTCCCACGGACCTGACCAGCCCCCTCCATCCTAGTAACCCCCCACCCTCTCTCCAAAACAGAAGTCGGGGTACGTTCCGCCCGGGGTGCCCGTCCTCCCCCCACCCCACCCCAGATCACCAGCCAGGCTCCTCCCTGCCCTCCAACCCCAGTCCCCTCGCGGGCTGGACTTTCGGGTCCCCCTCCCCGCAGTCCCCGAAGCTGGGGACGCACTCCCTCTGCCTCCGCTCCCACGGGCTCCGATTCCCTCCCTGCAGAGCGGCCACCCCCCCCCCCCCACACACACACACACCCCCGCCCCAGCTGCCCCACGTTCCCCCGGCCGGTGCTCCCCGGCGGTGCTCCCGTTACCTCGGCCCTGGTCCGAGTCCTCCGGGTCGCGCACCTTCTCGCAGGTGGCGGCGCCCTGCAGCAGCGCCTGCAGCGGCAGCTCGGCGCCCGGGCGCGGGTAGCAGTGCAGCCCGTGGGCGCAGCGCTGGGTGTACACGCCGCAGGCCTCGCCCTCCAGGAGGGCGCACTTGGCGCAGCAGCCGCAGCCCGGCTCGCGGGCCAGCTCCACGCAGGGCCGCGCGTTGTCGGGCGCCGGCGGCGGGCAGGCGGCCAGGCTCTCGGGCGAGCAGGGCGGGCAGCTGAACAGCACCTCGGCGCGCCCGCCGGCGCCCAGCAGCAGCAGCAGCGGCGGCAGGAGCAGCGCGGGCCCGGCCGGCTTCATGGTGGCCCGGGGGCGGCGAGGGCGCAGACGGCGGGCAGGCGGCCGGGAGCACGGGGACCGCCTCCGGGGCTTCTGTCGGGGCGCAGCCGCCGCCTCGCCCTAAAGGGCCCCGCTTCTCCCCGCCCCCTGCTCTCCCCTCCCCTTTGGGAGACCACCCCCTTTCCCCGCCTCGTCCCGCTGCGGCCTGTCCCTCCGCACCCTCCGCCCCGGGCTCCGCTCCCTCCGGGGAGGAGAGGAGGGCCCCGTGGGATTAGCGCGGGAATGGAGAGTGGGCGCTTCTGCCTCCTCTTTGCCGTCCGGCTCCCGAGTTAGTCTGCGCGCTCCCCGGGCGGCCCGGCCGGCGCTGGGCTGAGGCTGGGGAAATGCCAAGGACAAAAGCCATGGTCTGGACCTTAAGTGGCTTCCGCTCCCGGCCCCAATGGCTCCCTCTGTCCGGGTTCTCACTGACCCGCGGAGGTGCGCTTGGGACAATGGTTTTGGTGTTGAGTCGGGAGGAGGTTCCCGCATCCTCTAGACCAGCTTAGCCCCTGACAGCCCCCCTTCGTGACCACGGCAGTTCCCGGCCCGGGAGCACCTGGTGTGATGTAAGTTCTGGACACTGAGAAACCTGCTCCCTGCCTCACTGCCTACTCTGTACTCAAGAGGAAGGAGAGGGGAGGAGAGCGGAGGGGAGGGGAGGGGAGGGGAGGGGAGGGGAGGGGAGGGGAGGGGAGGGGAGGGGAGGGGAGGGGAGGGGAGGGGAGGGGAGGGGAGGGGAGGGGAGGGGAGGGGAGGGGAGGGGAGGGGAGGGGAGAGGAGAAACCCCTACCCCACGGATCTGGAGGCATTTGCTACAGGAGAGTTCCCAGGTGTTGGGAGGGTGTGAGAGAACACCTGGAGTGTCTATAGCTCTCTCCAGTAATGCAGATGGATGGAGGAGGATGGCCTCCCTTCAGTGTCCTGTTTGACTTACTGAGTCATCCATCCATCCACGTTGTCTCCAACCCTGCAGCATTCCAGCTGGACCTGCCATCTCCCAGGCTGGGACCCTAACAGAGACCCTTGTTATGTGATGGACCCTCTTGGTACAGCATGGACCATTAAGCTGCCCCAGCCATGTTTAATTTCTCAGTAGGTCATGCACCGCAGAAGGACTGTACTGTCAATAAGAGATCACATGTACAAAGGTGGTACCATGAGATTATGATGGAAGTGAAACATGCTAACGCTCAGTGACGTCACAGCCATTGTAATGTCCTTGCCCAACACATTACTCGTGTGTTTGTGGTGATTCTGACATAAACCTGTGCAAAAGTAGAGTAGGTACAATTCTGCACAGTACACAATACTATATACTATTATTTTAAAATTGTTTTTATTGATTTCAACAAGTTTTTTAAAATATTTTTTATTGATTTTTTTACAGAGAGGAAGAGAGAGGGATAGCTAGAAACATCAATGAGAGAGAATCATCGATCAGCTGCTTCTTGCACACCCCCTAGTAGGGATGTGCCCGCAAACAAGGTACATGCCCTTGACCAGAATCGAACCTGGGACCCTTCAGTCCGTAGGCCAACGCTCTATCCACTGAGCCAAACCAGTTTCGGCCGTTTTTATTGATTTCAGAGAGGAAGGGAGAGAGAGAAAAAAACATCAATGATGAGAGAGAATCATTGACCAGTTGCCTTCTGCATGCCCCACACTGGAGATTGAGCCCAAAACCCTGACATGTGCCCTGACCAGGAATCAAATCGTGACCTCCTGGTTCATAGGTCGACACTCAAATGCTGAGCCATGCTGGTCGGGCTGAGTATCCTGACCGCATTACTTTCTCTTGTGCTTGATTATATCTTGCGTTGCTGTGTACAGCGACATGCCGACATGCTGTACAGGTCTGTAGCCTGGAGCTATAGGTTAAGTGCCCTCCATGATGCTCCCACAATGAAGAAATCACCCAATGACACATTCCTCAGAATGCGCCCCTGTTGTGAAGCAGTGAGTGACTGTACTTCTGTGCCACAATCCCCCACTCCCTCCCTCCACCCCCCACCCCCAGACCTCCACTCCAGCTCTTTCTAACTTTAGGACTCAGAGCCAGTTGATGCAACTCAACAGCTATTTGCCAAGCGGCGATCTGGCCCTGACGATGAGGCAGGTGCTCGGCAAGGCAAGTTCCCGATCTTAAGAAACTAACCGTGTTATGGGAGACACTTTGTAAGAGAACAAATAGCCCGTTGCCAGAGGCTTTGCGGAGGAGACATGTTTAGATGGAGATGTGATGGGGATTTCATGGGTACATCAGATTTGAAACTGAAGCTTGAGAGAAATGTAGGGGTAGCAAGGGAACCCAGAACAGGGAGATCAGCCAAAGCCAGGACATGGGAATGGGAAAGTGAGGCTGGAAAAAGGAAGCCGAATCCAGTTCCTTGTGTGGAGGTTTGGCTTCATTTGGTGGGCCGAGGGGTGCAGCATCCATGTGTGAGTATAGGAGTGGCATACCCAGAGCGGGGCTTCTGGAAATCACTAGAATGGTGTCCAGATCTGAAAGCAGTAAAAAGGGACAGGCATGGGGAGGCTGTTGTCCATGCCTCTTTGGTGTGCCCTGGCATCTTTTGTCTGCCTGGTAACATTTGTTTCTGTTGCTATCATGCTTGGAGTCTGAGTGCCTTCAAAGTAGGACAGTGTCTAGCATGACTCTTCAATGGAAATCTAATGCAAACCACACGTTAAAATATAGTAAAAAAAAAATAAATAAATAAATAGATGGAACCCATTTTAATAATATACTTTATCCAATCCAACATATGCAAATTTTTATTTCAATGTAGAATCAATATTAAAAATTATTACTGAGAGTTTTAACATTCCCTTTTTAAAAACTATGCTATATCCTCAAGCTCTGATGTGTATTTTATACTTACAACACATTTCAATTTGAACTAGTCAAAGTTAAAACGCCCAATGGTCACATGTGGAGGGACTACCATGTTGGATGGGGCATGGATCTAAAATATAGTGCCTGGCACCTAGTACACATTCACTAAATGTGGTGAGTGACACCATCTCTAAAAATACTCCGGGCAGGGCTTTTCATCCTCAGTCTCCATTGCAATGCCCAGCAGCGGGGGATGAAAGATGGTGATGGATGCACTGAGAGGACAGGGGAGGCATTTATTTGTTCATTCGGCTACTCACTTTCCTTTTGCGATTCTCCTTCACCTCTGTCAAAATTTCTCAGTCTCCTAGCCAAGAACCCTGGAGGTGAGCAGGCAAAGCGAGGCTAATGAGACCAATGCAATGTTTCAATGAGCTTTCTCTTGCCAATGAGTCTGAAGACTACTCCCCAGTTTTTTTGAAGTCCTTTTCTAACCGCTATAAGGTTCAGAGCTCTTCTCCAGAAAGGCATCAATCACAGAACCTCCTTCATGGGCTTAGCCAAGACCCCACGCCAGGTTACATGGGCTGGCCCAGAACAGTGCCTGGACTCCAGAGGCTCCGTCAATACTTGAGTGAACCAGGTCCTCCACTCCTAGTCCCTGCTTTGCCCACTATTCCTGGAGCATCCCTTGCTCTGCATTCCTCATGAGTCCTCTACGAGGGTTATGTATGTCCTTAGGCCTGAGTCTGCCTGTGCTGTGCAGTGAGGACTCGTTGAGAGATGGGGACAGGCTAAAACTGGTTTCCTCCCCTCCCTCTAACCCCCACCTTTTTCCATATGAAAAGTATTTCACCAACTCCACCCTTGCAAGGTTTACTGTGACTAAGAACTACTTGTGCTATTATTTACATACTATTTTTAATGTCAGTCAATTCACTCTTTTCTTTTTTACTTAAAGCTATTTTTAAAAATAAAGTTTAAATCACTACCATAAATGGAAATGCTGCATTGATGGCCATATATAGATAGCAACCACAAAAACAAACACAAGGATACAGAAGTCATTCAGTTCAAGCTGGATAGTGCTGTTTACTGAGGCCTCTGAGCCTGCGCACTCCCTCTGCCTGGTTAACAAAAGATAAGCCAGTCTAAGGCAAGCCAGAGCCCAGCTGAGACCTTTTTCCATTAAGCAATCAGAAGGAGAGGAGTATTTTTCTTTCTTTCTTTCTTTCTTTCTTTCTTTCTTTCTTTCTTTCTTTCTTTCTTTCTTTCTTTCTTTCTTTCTTTCTTTTTTAAATATATTTTATTGATTTTGTACAGAGAGGAAGGGAGAGATAGAGAGTTAGAAACATCGATGAGAGAGAGTCATCGATCAGCTGCCTCTTGCACACCCCCTACTGGGGATGTGCCCGCAACCACGGTACATGCCCTTGACCGGAATCGAACCCGGGACCCTTCAGTCCCCAAGCCGACGCTTTATCCACTGAGCCAAACCGGTTTCAGCGAGAGGAGTATTTTTCAAAACATCTTATTGAAATACAACGTATGTGCATACAAGTACACATATCATCAACTTGATAAATATTCAAAATTGGCCATCCCTGCTGAAAGAGAAGAGTAACCACGCTCAGGAGCCCCCTTCATGCTTCCTCCGGTCATTACCTCCCCGCTCTGTGGGCAGCCGTGATCCTGACTTCTACTGAACCAATGAGTTTTGCCTGTTTTTGCATTTCATATACATGAACACATACAATATGTAGTCTTTTCCTCTCTGGCTTTTTTTTTTTTTTTTTTTTTTGCTCAGCATCATGCTTGTGAAATTCGGGTGTATTCTTGCATGTAGCAGTTGGGTACTTGTCACTGTTGGGTAGTGTTCCAGGGTAGGTCTCTGCCACAATGCATGCATCTGTTCCACTGTTGATGGGCCTTTGGATAGTTTCCAGTGGTGGAGTCTTAGGAACACAGCTGCTGTCCTCTTTGAGCATGTGTGCACATTTGTTGGGTCTATACCTAGACGAAGAAGTTCTAAGTCATGGGGTATGCATGTATCCAGCTTTAGTAGATACAGCCAGAAAGTTTTGCCCAATAGATGTGTACATCTATCGATATACCCTTATCACAATATATAAGGAAATGTCCCCCT